AGCAGCCCCCACTAAGGCGGCTGGAGACGTCGGTCCCGTGCCTTGTCCCACCATCAGCTATTGGGGAGGTGGTTGCCGCAGGTCTGGCTCTCAGCACAGCCTTCCCACCATTCCTGCACCCCAGGCATTAGTCACGGGGATGTTCTTAATTAGCCTCAGCATCCCCAAGAACAGGGGCAGCCCTAATTACAGCGCTCGCCTGTTAAATCTGTTTGGGCTGGTGTCTCTGCTTTTAATGCAGCAACAAAAGGGAGTGGACCAAGACAAGCGATGCTATTCAGAAACAAGGGGCAGGGGAGGGAGAGAGGTTCCTGCGTGCTCCAGGATTTGGGATGCTCCCTGCAAACAAATTTCCCCCCCCCACTTCCCAGTCACCAGATTTGCCAGAAACTTGTTTGCAAAAGCTGCTGCTCCAAGGTTTTGCTTTGCCTGGGTGCTAGAGGGCCAGTTGGATGCAGATTGAAAGTCACTATTACAGATAAGCCGCGAGTGGGCTGTGGAAGCGGGGGAAGCATCCCACCGTTGTCTCAGGGCAGGGCACCCGTGGATCTGCGCGGGCCCCCGCCCTCTGTGTTTCACCCCCAAAAAAAAAAAACACAAAAAAAAAAAAACAAAAAAAAACAAAAAAAAACAAACTTTGAAAGCGCAAGATGAGCTGGGGGAAGGGAGATGGGATGGGGAGGGGGGAGCTGGGAAGAAATAATTGCCATGTCTGAAAACAGTTACTATGGCAGCAACAGTCTTCTTGCTGCTAGAGCAAAATGTTGGGGACCATCAAGCGGTCCCTTTGTCAGACACTCAGGCACACATTTAGATGCTAATGCTGGCTTTAACCTTGGCTGCTTAACCTTGAGGTGATGGAAAGGGGTGAGGGTGTCGGGAAGAAAAAGCAGAGGAGTGAGGGGGCTTGGGGAAAAGATAGGTTTCCTCTGCCTAAATTTGCCACTGAATGGACTTGGCAGACTCCTCTCAGCTGCAATTAACACTATTATTTCTGCGCTTAATATTCAGTGGAGGTCTTAACAGCTTATTTATGGATAGCTGGCATTAGTTGCAGCATAATTCAGCATTGCAACGCTCCTGTTTATCTCCGTCCCCTTGGGATCATCTGATATAAGGCCGTTTTTTACAACATCCCCTAGGTTTGATCAGCCTGTCTATCTAATATCGCCTTTACGTATAACTTACAATCAATGCTGGGGTGAAAAAGGGAGGGGTGCAGAGGAGGGAAGTCTATCCTTTGGACTTGGGCTGTTGTGGGGAAAGAAATTTTGGTGGCATATTTTTAAAAGGAAGCCTTTTCTTGCTTGAGACTTGAGGCCCAAAACTGTCTTCAGCACTGGGGATGAAGGAGGAGGGAGGGAGAGGGTTAGAAGTGATGGAGGGGAGAGGGGGATTTCCCCAGGCTGAAACAGCATCTCCTGCATCCCGGATCCCAGCACAAGCTCACTGCTAAAACACAAACCAATTGCACACAGATTGGCCACTAATTCCAGGCTCAGGCAAGGTTGCACTTGCCTTGGCATTATCCTTCATAGCAGCGTTTAAGAAAGCTTTTGCTGGAGCGATTCAGGCAGAATTGATGAGAGTAGTGCTGGATCTGCTGGTGACACCGCTCACAGATATGAACCTATTCTACTTCTGGCATTTTTTTTTTTTTTCTTTAATGCTCCAGCTCCTGGAGTCAGGTGATCACCCCCAGCTTTTCCCACTTGCTCTCATTACCTTTACTGCAGAGAAAAGCCGAACTCATACTGGCTCAAAGGCCAGCTGGTCAGTGTGACCCCAGGGCACAAAACATTTTCATTTTCCAGCCCGGACAATGCCTGCACTTTGCTTTTTGAACGGCTGTTCAGAGCACGGAGGCAAAGCCATCTCGCACGTGCCAAGAAGCGTTTCTCCCAGCTGCATGCTGGGGGGGACGGAGCTCCCTGCACTTTTCACCCTGTCACCACATGGTGATTTCCATCAAAACTGCGCCCCGTGTCACCTCCGGAGACAGTCACAGCGACCTGCCTGTATTTTTAATGATGGCACGTGTTAGCAGGTAGAGTTATCTCCATGCAAAGCCGCAACACGCATCCTTGGGATGAGATACAAATGTGAGAAATGATCCCACTCCAGCCTGACAATCCTCACTGCACGCTGCATAGTGAAAGCATCTTAAATTAAAAGCAGTATCTGTCTTCTGCAATACACTTCTTTCTCCGGGGCTTTCTAGTTAAGCTGTCAGATACAGCTGATATTTATTTTACAAATGCTGGAAAAGAGGGGATGGGCGATATTGTAGGAACAGCCCTGCTGCTGCTCTTTGGCTCGGGAGCAGTATCAGAAATAAATGCGATGGCAAAGAGCGGGGCAGGCCATCCCCAGAGCATGCAGCAGAGGTGGCTTCCCCTGGCCCCACGCTGGGGCTTCCAGGAGGAGTAGCTGGGTCAGCAGCTCCACGGCTTGGGACAGTGAACCGTGCTGGCCCTGGGGACCCTCGGGGGCTTTAACGTGGGCTGAGGGCACGCACAGCATTTATGAAGTCTGAGAGGCAAAAAGCATCAACAGCGGAGATGAGCACTGGAGACTGGGGCAGCCCCGGGGGGGGCTCCGTGTCCCAGCACCATACTGGGGGGTGGCGACCCCCGAGCTCCCAGCACGGGCCAAGGCTCTGCCTCTCCAGGAGGAGAACATCCCGCTCCCGCTTTCCGGGCTCAGCTCGTCGCCAGCGCCAGCCGTCCCCGCGGAGCTGTGCCTCAGCCACCGCTGCACCCCCGGCACCCCCCAGTTCCCTCAGCCAGGGATGCAGCAGAAGGTCCCTCCATGTGCAATGAATAATGCCTCGGCTTGGTGCTATTTTTAGGGGGGTTTGTGTTGTTTGTTTTTTTTTTTTTTTTGTTTGTTTGTTAGTTTGTTTATTTTTATATATATATTTTTAATTTTAATTTTATGATTTCTGTGGTCGGTGGCGATGAAGAGCATAGGGACACCCAAGCTTCAAGCACAGGCTGGCGGAGGGGGAACCACTCATTCCCAGGAGGACGCCCCCTCCTCACCCAGGGAGCCCCCCCTAGTCTATCCCCGTGCAATGTGGGTGCAGCGCGGCCAGACACACACACACACACACACACACCCACACACCCACACCCACACCCACACACACCCCGGTGGTGCGGGCAGGAGCAGGGACAGGCAGGAGGCGGTGAGGACAGGAGGGGGGGGAACGGGCAGGAGCAGGGATGGGCAGGAGGGGGTGCGGGCAGGAGGGGGTGCAGGCAGGAGGGGGTGCAGGCAGGAGCAGGGATGGGCAGGAGGGGGTGAGGGCAGGAGGGGGGGACGGCAGGCAGGCAGGAGCAGCAGACGATGAGGACAGAAGCAGGGACGATGGGCAGGCAGTGCAGGCAGGAGCAGGGACGGGCAGGAGGCGGTGAGGGCGGGGGGGGGGGTCTGGCAGGAGCAGGGATGGGCAGGAGGGGGTGCAGGCAGGAGGGGGGACGGGCCGGCAGCACTGCGAGCAGGAGCAGGGACGGGCAGAAGCAGGGACGGGCAGGAGGTGGGGAGGGTAGGAGAGGGGGACGGGCAGGCAGAGGTGCAGGCAGGAGGGGACGCGGGCAAGGCGGTGAGGGCAGGAGGCGGTGAGGGCAGAAGCAGGGACGGGCTCGCAGGAGGGGGGACGGGCAGGCGGTGCAGGCAGGAGCAGGGACGGGCAGGAGGGGGGGCGGGCAGGAGGGGGGGGGACGGGCAGGAAGGGGGGACGGGGAGGAAGGGGGGACGGGCAGGAGCAGGGACGGGCAGGAGCAGGCATGGGCAGGAGGGGGGGGGGACGGGCTGGGGGGGGTCGGGCAGGAGGCGGTGCAGGCAGGAGCAGGGACGGGCAGGAGGGGGGGACGGGCAGGAAGGGGGACGGGCAGGAGCAGGGACGGGCAGGAGGGGGGGGGGACGGGCAGGAGGGGGGGACACGGGCGGGGGGGGTCGGGCAGGAGGCGGTGCAGGCAGGAGCGGGGACGGGCAGGAGGGGGGACCGGGCAGGAGCAGGGACGGGCTCGGAGGAGGGGGGACGGGCAGGCGGTGCAGGCAGGAGCAGAGACGGGCAGGAGGGGGGGGACGGGCGGGGGGGGGTCGGGCAGGAGGGGGTGCAGGCAGGAGCGGGGACGGGCGGGGGGGGACGGGCAGGAGCAGGGACGGGGGGGGGGGGGTCGGGCAGGAGGCGGTGCAGGCAGGAGCAGGGACGGGCAGGAGGGGGGGACGGGCAGGAGCAGGGACGGGCAGGAGGGGGGGACGGGCAGGCGGTGCAGGCAGGAGGGGGGGACGGGCAGGAGGGGGGACGGGCAGGAGGGGGGGGACGGGCAGGAAGGGGGGATGGGCAGGAGCAGGGACGGGCAGGAGCAGGCATGGGTGGGGGGGGGGACGGGCTGGGGGGGGTCGGGCAGGAGGCGGTGCAGGCAGGAGCAGGAACGGGCAGGAGGGGGGGGCGGGCAGGAAGGGGGACGGGCAGGAGCAGGGACGGGCAGGAGGGGGGGGACGGGCTGGGGGGGGTCGGGCAGGAGGCGGTGCAGGCAGGAGCGGGGACGGGCAGGAGGGGGGACCGGGCAGGAGCAGGGACAGGCAGAAGCAGGGACGGGCTCGGAGGAGGGGGGACGGGCAGGCGGTGCAGGCAGGAGCAGAGACGGGCAGGAGGGGGGGGACGGGCGGGGGGGGGTCGGGCAGGAGGGGGTGCAGGCAGGAGCGGGGACGGGCGGGGGGGGACGGGCAGGAGCAGGGACGGGGGGGGGATCGGGCAGGAGGCGGTGCAGGCAGGAGCAGGGACGGGCAGGAGGGGGGGACGGGCAGGAGCAGGGACGGGCAGGAGGGGGGGACGGGCAGGCGGTGCAGGCAGGAGGGGGGGACGGGCAGGAGGGGGGACGGGCAGGAGGCGGTGCAGGCAGGTCCGGGTGGGGGCGGATTTGGGAGGGGGGTTGTCAGGCGGAAGGCGGCGGCGCGGCCCCTCCTCCCGGGCGGGGCGGAGGCCGGCAGTCCCCCAGCGCTACCGCGGCGTGGAGCCGCGCTGCCCACTCCGCGCCCCGCTCCGCGCCCCGCTCAGCTTCCCGCCGAGCCGCGCCCCTGCCCCTGCGGGCCCGGCGGCGCGGGGATGGGCGCGGGGCTGTGAAGGGCGGCCGGGAGCCGTGGCCATGGGGAACATCTCCTCCAACATCTCCGCCTTCCAGTCCCTGCACATCGTCATGCTGGGCCTGGACTCGGCGGGGAAGACCACGGTGCTTTACCGGTTGAAGTTCAACGAGTTCGTCAACACGGTGCCCACCATCGGTTTCAACACGGAGAAGATCCGGCTGAGCAACGGGACGGCCAAAGGCATCAGCTGCCACTTTTGGGATGTGGGTGGGCAGGAGAAGCTGCGCCCGCTCTGGAAGTCCTACAGCCGCTGCACCGATGGCATCATCTACGTGGTGGACTCGGTGGACGTGGACCGGCTGGAGGAGGCCAAAACGGAGCTGCACAAGGTGACCAAGTTCGCCGAGAACCAGGGCACCCCGCTGCTGGTCATCGCCAACAAGCAGGACCTGCCCAAATCCCTGCCGGTGGCCGAGATCGAGAAGCAGCTGGCCCTCCATGAGCTGACCCCTTCCACCACCTACCACATCCAGCCCGCCTGCGCCATCATCGGCGAGGGGCTCACGGAGGGCATGGACAAGCTCTACGAGATGATCCTGAAGCGGAGGAAGTCCCTCAAGCAGAAGAAGAAGCGGTAGAAGCCCCGCAGACGCAGGCAGGGATGGGGAAGCAGACAAAGGAACCGAGGGGGAGAGACAACCAAAGCGATCCTTTTTGTTCTAATCGTTAATATTATTTTTTTTTTCCCTCTTTTTATTTTTTTTTTTTTTTTTTAACCCCTGCCCCCTTCTCCTTTCCAAACGAAAAGACAATAGTGGTGATAACAAAGCCGCTCCTGCCAGCCAAACTCAAATCCCGGTTGCGGGCGAAAGCCGGGATCTTCCCCCCTCTCCCCACCGCCCCTTTCCGTGGACCACCGTGCACCCACGGGCCGCATCCGGAGCTCGGGGTGGGGGTGGGGGACCCCCGGGCCGGGCTGGAGACGTGCTGACGGGGTGAAACCCCCCCCCATCTCCCCCCCCCCCCGCTCCGTCCTTGGGGGCCACCGAGCTTTTGTGTGCCGGGGGCGAACAGGGCAGGACCCTGTTGAAGTGCATTTGAGAGAAGCCCAGCGTGCTTCTGGATCTTTAACGTGTGCATTTTGGGGTGGGAGGAGGCCGGGGGGCGGGGGGGGGGAGGGATGGATGCTATGGGGGGGTGGTGGTGTGTGGGGGGGTGAAGGCAGCGCCTAGGTTCGGGAAGGTCAGCAGTGAGGGGGGCTTCCAGCTGCGCCCCGATTCTTGCCCGCATCCCTCCCCCTCGTTTGTCAGTGGGGAGGGGTGTAAAAAGAGGGGGGGGGGTGTGGGTGATGGGTAAAGGACATCCCCCTCCCCCCCCCCCCCATCTGGTGTTTTGGGGGGCGGATGGGTGCAGAGCAAGGACAGGCAGCCTTGAGCCCGGGGGAGGGGGGTGTGTGTGTGTGTGGAAGGCTGCGGCGCCGGGGGTGCTGAGCTTTAAGCAGTTTGCTTTAAGAAAAAAAAAAAAAAAAAAAAAAAAAAAAAAAGGCAAAAGGTTTTGAGTGAACACTGCTGGAAGTGTTGGGGGGGATGTCCAGGAGCCTCCCCCTTTCTCAAAGGCTTAATTAATTGTGTCATCTTCTGAAGCAAAGCCCCGAGCAGGTCTTTATTGTGCCCAGGCAGAGAGATGTGCTCCAAGGTGCTAATCTGCTCTAGCTGGGGTGATCCTAACTAGGGGGGTTATTTAAATTAAAATAAATAAATTAAAAAAAAAAAAAAAAAAAAAGGCAAGCTTCATGGTACTGGTCACCGTGCTGCTCCGCAGTCGGTGCAGGAGGTCAGGGCTAAATGTGGGGTTTTGGAGGGGGGGGGTCACGGCAGGGCAGGGCGGATGGACAGCTGCTGGCACTGCTGGCCGAGGTGGCCAGAGCTTGCAAAATCTCTGCTGGAAAGGGACTTGGCAGCACTGGGAAAATGGCAGGGTGTGAAGAGACATTGGGGAGGAGGGTGGGGATGGGGGGGGCGGGGAGTGGGTTACCTAGCGGGGGGGTGTTAGTTTTTTATAAAGATTTAAACCCTATTCGAAGCGGAGAGCCCCTTGCTGCCAGCGGTAGCCGTGTGGGCTGCCTCTGCTTGCCGAGCGCCCGGGGCAGGGGCAGGGGCCTCGCCGCCTCCTTCTGCAGGTGAACGTTTTGGTACCTGGATGGAACTGGGGACCGTTTGCTTTCTCTGTGTTGGCCTGGGACCCAGCTCTCTGGAGGAGAAAACCAGGGGCTTGGCTTTCCACGCTGCCCACCGAGCAGAAGCGGGCAACCCTCAGGGGCCAGGTATCCCGAGTTTGGAGCCGCACGGTCTGGCAGGATTTTCTGGTTGATTTTTACACCAGCCTTCCTGTTCGAAAACCCCTTCCCAGAGCAGCCAAGGAGAAACCACCAAGCAGACAAAAGAAAAATGCCCTTTGGGTTTCAGGGAGTTGATTCTCCCCTTGCAGCGATGAGCACGGCACCTTCCAAATAGCGTTTTGTTTTTTTTTTTTTTTTTTTTTGGTTAGGAAACAAATGTTGCAGCCAAGTAGTATTTTCTCTTCTTGCGGGATTTGAGTTCCCAACACGAGTCCTGACGTGTGCGCTGAGTGAGTGGGCTGGTCCCATCAGTTCAGGTGGCTCTGTTCCCGCTTCCTTGGGTTTTCTTTGCTTTGTCTTCACCTCCAACACTTTGGTACTTGCTGTCCAGAGAGGAGAAACAAAAAAAAAAAAAAAATTATTTTTTGATGCCACAGAAGCCATGTGCATTAACCCATTTTTGGAGAGTGACCGATTTTAGAGGCGAAATATAAAACTTAAAGCTACGTTTTCCCCACCAGCTCGGAAGCGATCAGGTGAAAATGCCACGTGCAGGCTATTAGCTGTGGGCTTTGCCTCCTTGCTGTTGAGACGTAGGTCTTGGTTTAGCAAATGCTGCCATGGAAAGCCCAGTGGCATGAATTTACGGAGCTCGGTCCTTCCTGGGAGTTTGTTACACCCAGCTCAGCTGAGCATCCCCCCTTGGAGAACTGGCTGGTTTTCAGCAGAGCACGCTTGAAGGTTCAGCTGAGCCAGGTGGGATGCTGTGGCGGTGCCATTCCCACCGACTCTGTTTTCTGCAATAATTAAAAAGATTTTTCCAATTAGTAGCTAATGGCTTCCGTGGTATTTCTGTAACGTTTCACAACTGTACGCTGATTTTGCCTGTATGAAGATGTGCGTCGCCTACGGTGGGCTAGAAGGAGAGATGCCTCAGCAAAACAGCTGTTCAGGGAAACTGCCTGGATTGTTACTCTGAAAACGAGCTGGGCTTTTTCCAAGGTTGTGCGTCTTCTCTAAATATGTTTGAATGACCTTTTTTTTTTTTTTTTTTTTTTCTTTAGCAGCTGTCACAAGGTACCAGTCTCATTTCCCCAGGTACCTTTGCAATGTTCCCATCAGTGTTGGATATCCTACTGCCCGTGTCCTACCCTCACCATTGTCCGTCAGTCTCTGTTCCTCCTGTCTTTTCTTCTTTTTTTTTTTTTTAAAAAAAAGATGCAGACATAATGCTGTGAACTGAAATAAATTATTTATACAATGAAAGGGCCTGATAAAAAAAAAAAGTGGTGTTCTGCTTATTTCTTAATATTGATGCTGCATTTTACAGTTGGTTCTCATTGCACGTTATGAAGGAGGTTGCTCCTGCCTCCCCAGGGAGAGGAGGCGAGGGCATGGGGACAGAGATGTGACCTGCTGAGGCTGGCGTGGGTCTGTGGCATGGCAGCCCTCTGCAGCCTGTCCCTCTAGGACGTGGGGAACGCAGATAATTTTGTGGTTAATGACATCTGAGCTCTTGGGCAGGACGCTTAATTTCTCTGCATCTCTGCTGCTGTGTGTGAAAGGGGAGAGTACTGTTTGCTGTGGGTAGTCACCGCGCTTTTTTTTTCATTTTAAATCTATGCGAAGGAGGCGATCACCCTCGGTGTGGCTTTTTTTTTAAATGCACGGCCTCGGGCAAGGTGTTGGGGTAGCAGAGAGCCAGGTCTGCAGGGGTTAATGCACCAGGAGGGCAGCTGAGAACAGGATGCTGCAGCGCTGGAGGCTGCCTCTGCTCCTGGGTGGCTGCTGACACAGGAAACAGGGTGACATTTCGGAGAGGAGAGCTGGAGCTGGGCGGTAAATGACTTTGTGTGGTTTTGTGTTTTTTTTTGTTTTTTTTTTTTTTTTCTTTTTGAAAATGATGACATGGCAGCCAGAGAGGTAACGATGAGCCCAACCCGTGCAAGCGTGATTTGGCAGGGCTCGTGAGCACTTGGCCTGCTCGAGGTTTGCCTCTCTGCATCCCAGGTGGCCCCCCTGGTTTCCAGGGTGCCCAACGCCTGGGTGAGAGGACACGCCATCTGCTCTGCAGCATCAGGGCCGTGGGGCTCTAAAGGGTTGCAGGACCTCAAAACGAACCTAAAGGCTTATCCAGTGATGCAGTTACTGAGCTCCTATCAAGGCTGTAGGTGCATGCCCAGCAACCACTTGGAGCCGAGCTGGACGGTGATCTGGAGCATTCAAGGAGCGAGTTGCTGAGTGCTCAGCTGCCCCGTGGCCGTGCGGAGAGGCGCTGAAAGGTGCAGTCCCCCGCGGGCTTCCTTCCTCGCACAGAGCATCCCCGACGGGTTCCTGTCTCTCTGCCCCACGGGTGACACGGCGGACAGCGTGCCGTGCTCCTGAAGGTGCTTCTGACCATCACTTCCCGTTGCGCCTCCGGCCCCGTTTTTCCAGGCAGCGTGCAGGACGTCCTGTGTTTCTCCTGGCCTGTGTTTCACGGATCTGGAAGCTCAGGAGAGGATGCTGCACTGCTTGCACCCTCCTTGATGCGAAGGGACTCGTCCTCACCAACCTCACCTGGCGGGAGCCGGTTTATGGGGGTTTTCTTGCTGGCATGGAGTTGGGCACCCTGGTGTCGTGTCCCTGTACGAGTTTATCTGTGCCCCAGGGAGCCCGGACTTGGGTCCCTTGGGCACCTGCTTTGTCCTGCATGGAGCTAGGGGGGCTTTTCTCCTCCTGGTATAATGGGGGGGGAACCATCCCTGTCCCTGACGTGGAGGAAGAGAAACAGCCAGAAGCGTTTGGGCTGTAGGTTTTGAGAGGCTGTGACTGTGCAACAGGATCTACCCCCAGCCCTGTGAGCAGGGAGGGGGATAAGATGGGATGTCTCCGTTTATTTTACTGCCAAAGCCTCTGGCTTGCGGGAAGGGGCGGGTGTTTTGTCTTCTTGCAAGCAAAGCTCCTTGTGCCTCGCGCTGCAAGGACAGACATCCTCCTTCAAGCCACACAGCTTCTCCTCCTGGCCGGCGAGCGCTTTTGTCAGTGGGGCTTTTTGCGTCTTTTAGTCCAGTTGTCATGAAAACGTTGCACAAGGAGCTTGCTGACCTTGCGGTGCCCTGAAGCAGCACGCTGGCCGTGATTTGTGCTGCCATACCCTCTTCCCCAAGCAGGCAGCTCGGCGAAACGGCGAGTGATGCTGGAGCCGTGGTCTCCCCAGCACAGTGTTTGGGGACCCTCGTGGCCTGTGGAGCCCAGGCCACCAGGCAATGCCCAAGGGTGCTGCCCCTGCGTGGGACCAGCCGGGAGAAAAAACAGCGAGGAAGCAGTTGGGCTGTCCGCTGCATCAGATCTCCACAAGCACGAGCTAGGAGCGGGTGAGGAAGGCCCTGCAACCTTTTGATAGGCAGAAAAAGCAAGAAGAGAATGGGCTGGGGCTGGGGTCCAGCTGGGAGCAGGAGGAGATGGGGTTGGGACAGAAAAAAATAAGAGATGAGCTACCAGCTTGCCCCGTGCCCTCCGCTGCTTCTCTGCAAGTCCTGACATACCCTCTCTGAAGGCCACCAAGGGAGGGTTGCTGAGCGATTGCCACTTGCTGTCATGGACAAGGGTGCTTCACACACCCTTCCACCGGCCTGGCACATCCCACATTTTCACGCACATACCTTCACGATGTCTCCTTCACCCCAAGAACTCTGCGGCCCCTCTTCTGCAGGTTGTCCCTCTGCCTTGCCTCTTGGTGTCTCAGCTACACAGGTCCTTCTCCCCTCTTTCCCTGGTTTTCCTTGTTAAGCTAAATCCCTCTGGTTTATTTCGAATGGGATTTGCCTCCCAAGCAAGTATCTTTAAAAGGATCATCTTGGTTAATACAGTACCTAGGATGCCGAATCCTTGATGCATGGGGTAATGCAAAGAGCTTTCTCTGCACAGCACAAGGTACTTCTGGTTGAAGTTTGAGTGAGGGTGACCATCTCTTTAAAATGGACTCTAAACCATTACAAGAATTTAAAAAAAAAAAAAAAAAATCCCACGCTGATTTAAACTTGGACCCCATTTGCTTTGTTTTCATTCAGTCGGCTCCATCCTAGAGGTTCTTCAACATGAATTACCCCAAAGCGCATGTACCTTTTGTCTGAGCAGCAAAAGGCCGCTGCTGTGAGTCAGGTCTGCAGGACACGAGGCACTTTACACACATATCATGCAGAAAAAAAGGTAGCTCTTGCTTAGTAGGGTGAAATTGAGACATTTCAGCACAAGCATATTCTTATTGAGGATAGTTCATGATGACTAGGTAATATGGAGAGCCCAGCCTGGGAATATTTGCTCTAATAAACCATTCTGTTTATTTCAGCTTATCTTATGTTTGCTTCCCTCAGATATTTGAGTGAGATTTAAGGGAGGAAAGCTTGCAAAAAAAGAGCAACTCTCCAGCAACTACATTAAAATACTGGTGGAAGGTGAGTTATGAAGCCGATAAATCCCCCAGGTGTTCGTGCTAGAGCTATACCCAGCTGACAGGTGACCAGAAATAATCCCGTGTGCCTAATGACCCCTTCCCTGACAGCCTCGACTAATGACATCTTACGGCTTGCAAAAATCCTGCAGCAGAAGGGGAGGTTGTGAGAAGTGCTGCTGAGCCCATGGCCACGGGAGAAAGGGATGACAGCCTGCTTGCAGACACTGGGGAAGGGAGATCATCTCACCCAACTCTTCATCAACATTATATTATTATTATTTAGTAATATTTTTAGTATTTTAAACCAACGGCACCCCAACTTTGCAGCTGGAGCAGGCTACTGTCAGCTTACGAATATTCTTGTGATCTGCTGGGGCTGGAGGATTCCCAAGAGTTGATGTCTGCAAAGATGCATGCACCCAAAGCTCCTGATCCCACCTGGCATTGCTTTCAAGTCTGTATTGTGCTGCTGGAAAGAGAGCAGGACACAAAGCTGGGTCTCGATGCAGTTCTTTAGTCTTTGCCACTGGCTTCTGCGTAACCCCAGTCCCATCACATCAGATGCCCCCAGACTTCTTTTCCACAGGTGTAAAAGAAGGTCACCAGCGTTTTTCTTACTCCCGGGGCTAAAAAAAGAAATTGGTGGTGGTGTTGTGCTACTCGGATCCCCATACTAAAGATGCTAAACCTGCAGGATTGTCCCCTCACGTGGTGGGGAAAGGGGTTGTGAATGGTGCTTGGGCGGGGGGGAGGTTGCTGCTGGTCTGGGCACTCCTGCTTGCGCTGCGGGCAGAGGAGCTGCCTCAGGACTGAGTGCCTCGGGTCAGCATCCAGCAGCTCCATGCCACACCGGCTTGATTTTATGAGCTGTGCCTCTCTGAAACCCTCCAGCCGTATCCTCCAAGTTATGGCTGCGAGAGGGAAGTTAATAACCCATTTTAACCCCCCGACTCCATAGCTGTGGGCTCCCCTGCAGCCGCAGGGATGGTAAGGAAGTCCTGCAGGCAGAGGAGATGGCAGGGAGGCTTCTGTCACCGCCGTAGCACCATGCCAGCAGTGGACAGGCCATGTCCCCAGGGCTGGAGGCAGCTCAGGACCCTGCAGATCCACCCACGCAGAGGTGAAAGACCAGCGTGGCAATGGGAAACGGGAACACAGGGCAATTGTCGTGCTGGTTAATGTTTAAATAGCTCTTGGAAAGCCCCCTCCCTTGCCGCTTGCACTCTCTAACAAGGGGGCTCTTTCAACTCTTTGGCAACTTCCCCATCCTTTAGCTTCTGCTGCCTGTTTAAAACATCCAAAGGCAGGAGGGGGAGTGGCAGTGCCGCAGCTTCGCAACGTTTTCTTGCCCACCACATCCTCCCAGGATGGGCCATGCTCTTTCCCAGCCAGCCT